GAATAGTAAATCCATACTACGATCAAAAATGCAAATACAATCACTTTATATATTTATTATAACATACAGTACTCTCATATACCAATACCAATCTATTTAATTTGGCGGATGTGCAAAAAAAATAAAATAAAATTTACCAATTTCGCCAAATTTGCCAAATTAAAGAGGGCGCCAAATTAACCCAATCTACAGTACTGTTACAATGTGTTATATGAGGGAACATATACACGAGCAACTTTGGAATGAAGTTGGCAATCACCCTGAAACCCTTTGGCCAGCAGTATCATTCTTCATATGTCGATGCAACCCTGTTTAGAGATACAAGTCAAATTCATGAAAAGGGTAGTGGGCAGTGGACAAAGAACTGGAATGTTACAGAACATATTTTAATAATTGCTCCTGACATATTACCTGATCCACATGACAATATAATTTAGTCTACTATAGAGCCCCATGGGGCATCACGATTATTTAGAAATAGAGTTACAGCAAATGAATGGATGAGTCAAGAGAGCAAGCAAGCCACACTAGTTCAAGTAAATGTTTGAAATAGAAATATTAGCAACACGCATCATAATAACATTCATATTCAAACTGAATAATATTACGGTATTATATTCACATATATTGCTGAACACAAAGAGTACTAATATGGACGCAAGAGCGAAGATAATTGTCTTCCTCATGAGCGGAACCAGGAAGTCATGCAAAGAATTGCCTGTCATCTTTGGCCTGACGTCTAATATATCTATTCCTTATAGAGCCAGTCATGCTTCCTAGGGGGAGCAAAAAGTGTCTGAATGTTTTATCTTTCATCATGAAGGGTACATGTCAGTTTTTCAAGTTTCAGATTTAGTAAAAATACATCTCTGGCCTAATATCTCATAGGACTTCAAAGTAGGTTAGAGTTGTGCATCACTTTCAAAAATAGGCTTCATTATGCTTCAACTTTTAGATTTTCATAATAATTTTGTTCAGCCCACCACTTGTCAATTTCTGGGTATGCCTCTGAATACAAAAGCCATGAAGTCAATCATGAACCTGAAGTATATATTGATACAATAAAAATATATATTTCCATAGTTTTGTTTCCAAATATCTTATCTTGGTTTTATATATCTAAGGGACCATTATTAGAACAATATATATATATATATTCTTTTATTGACTCTTATATATGTCAGTCTCTCCGACACATGGGTCACTATACAGTTATTTACATGTGTTTTATATACAAATATACAGTCATAAGCAAAATGGAAAAATACAAAATCATTACATCATGATTCTAATGTAGTGGAAACACCTTTTCAAATAGGCTTGACAAACATGATTGCTACAAAATGTACATTCTATGATACAAAATAAATTTACAAATATTTACAAACTGATACAATGTTAGAGACTAGATATGAATGCTCTTACATTGTTACAATCTATGAGGAATTTGGCAAAATATTTTAATATGTTAATTTTGCTGTTCATGATCTCCTTTATTAAAAATTCAGGCATTAAGGTGCTAATAGGAATATTTTCAGCTAGTGTTTTGAAGAATATTGCTCTCTGGTTTGTATAAGAAGGGCAGTAAAAAATTAAATGTAGTTCATCTTCTATTTGATTTAGGTTACAATTTAAACAGAGTCTATCTTTTAGTTGTATCTTTTGTCCATCTTTCTTTTTGTGTCTACCTATTTCAATTTCTAATTTGTGGTTACTTAGCCTTATTTTGCATAATATGTTTCTAAGTTTGCTGTTTTTTATCATAAGCAAAGGCTCTTTCTTGAATTCAACTTTGAATAAAGAATATGTTCTCAGGCATGGGTTTTTTGAGTGATCGTTGATTAGAGCAAGCCATTGGTTTTTGTAAAGAGATCTTAATTTATTTGATACTTTAAGATGAAGTGTTAAATATGACTGAATGTCAATATCAGACTTTAAATGATTATCCCACATATCTTGTAAATCACATTCTTTCAAAATATTTTCGATTTGTGACACCCATGATTTCCCACCGCAATGATAGATTTGAAGGTTCTGTTGATACGCTATATTAAGTTTGTGTTGAGATTGAAGAGTAAGTAATCGACACCAATATTTTATTTTTTGAACTTTCATTCTTATAATGAGGGGATACCTTCCAAATTCACCAAGTATTGCTAGATTTGAAGTTTGTGTTTTAACATGTAAAAGTTGCTTTAAAAATCTCAGTTGTAATTTTTCTATGATCTCAAAACTTTTAGATTGTGCAAGTACTTCATTACCATATTCAAGTATTGGTAGAATCAATTTATCAAAAAGATTTAGTGCTACGTCTACTGGTAGATTACCTAGTACTTTGTAATAGCCTCTAAGCTTAAATATGGCTTTTGTTGCTTTTTGAGCTAAATGATTTGAATTTGACTTGAGATTTTTGGTAGAAAGAATGCAGCCTAAATATTTATACTCTGATACTTCTTCAATTGTTTGATTGTGGATAGAAAAGTTAATTATAGGTGTATTTTTCTTCTTTCCAAAGACAAGAACTTTAGTCTTTTTACAGTTTATAACAAGGCGCCAAGAATTACAGTAATCTTCAAAAGCATGCAAAAGTTTTTGTAAATAACTTGGATTTGGCGCGCAGAGCACAATATCATCAGCCCATGCAAGATGTGTTATTGAAAGATCATTAATGAAGGTACCATATTCAGTGTTTAGAGCATCCTTTACATCTGATATGAATAATTTGAAGAGGAAAGTACTAAGGGTTCCGCCTTGAATTATACCCACCTCATTTGTGAATGTATCTGTGATACCAGCATCAGTCCTAACGCAAGATTTTGATTTAGAATACATTGATTTAATGACTTTTAACATATTACCTGTGATGCCTCTTTGAATAAGTTTATATATGAGCATGTTTCTATCAATTAAATCAAAGGCTTTTTTCAGATCAATAAAGCAACAATATAGGGGCTCTTTGATAAAGGCATGTTTTTCTATTAAGTTGTTCAAAATAAATAGATTATCAGCTGTTCTACTAAATTTTTCATATGCACCTTGAAGTATATCCTGTTTATGATTAGATACTGTATGAAATTCAAGTCTATTATGAAGGACACTTTCAAAAATCTTTCCAAGTACAGGTAGTACATTGATACGTCTAAGTGTATCAGGGTCACTCGTTTTCTTAGTTTTTGGGATTGGAAAAATTAAGCCAAAGGCCCATTGTTCGGGATACTCATTTGTAAAAAATATATTGTTAAATATTTGGGTAATTATATTATTAAGGACAGATTTTGATGATTTAATGAATTCTCCAGGAATACCATCCAACCCACTGGATTTGTTAATTCTAATATTTTTGATTGCTTCATCAACTTCTTCATTAAGTATTGGAGTATTAAGGATATTGGTTGGATCATTTGCATACATATTTTCATATTTTTTGTGACTGTCAAAAGTGTTAAGAAAATCAATAATCTTTTCATTGTGATTATCATTAAAATTATATTGTGTAGGAGGTTTGGCTAATTTGCTGAAGTTTTCAAACATTGCAGATGGAGATGCTCTTATTTTGACACATTCTCTGTTAGTTGATTGGGTTGAGTTTAATAAATTCCAAAAGTGAGGTGGGTCATCATTTAGGCTATATAATAGGTCATGATACATTGTGTTGTGAAAATGGCGCTTACACTTTTGCTTTTGACTTTTATATTCTTTGTGTAGAGCACTTGTTTCTTTTCCTAATTTTTCTGCTATGCGAATATTTGATTTCAGAGTTTTACATTTTTCATCAAACCATTTATTTGCAGGAAATTTTGTGGTTTTGTTAGATACTTTTGTTTTGACAAAAACATTTTCTGCTGCAAGTGAGAGTGTTGTATTGAGCTTATCTACTGTGTGTTCTATTGGACAATCCTGGTATTTCAGGTCAAGTGATATTTCATGGAGTATTGAATTACATAATGGTGATTTGAGGTTTGACAGAAAAACAGTTGATTTTGATTCATTCCATCTGAACTTAGTAATGTTAGTATATAAACCTGTTGTACATTTAGTATTTGAGTCGCTTAAAGTAGATAATTTTAGAGTAAGTATTGAAAATGAGATAGGACAATGGTCTGATTCTGGTAATTTTGCCTGAATTCTAAAGTTTTGTATGTTCTTGAGAGCCTTTGATGATCCAATTACATAATCTACCACACTAGCACCATTAGGTCTGATGCAGGTGTATTTTCCAATATTTTTGTCTTCACCCACTCTCCCATTGGCTATTTGCATATTTGTGGTCTTACATAATTCTAATAGTTCTTTGCCATTTGTTCTAAGAATTTCTTGATTATTTATATCATTTGATGCCCTGTCAGTAAAAAATGAAGTGCTATTGAGTATGGGTAAAAGGTAACTGAGTTCACTGTCAGTTCCAAATATTTCTGTTTCATAATCTTCCTTTATCCCCGTTCTTGCATTAAAATCTCCACATATATATATATTTGAGGTACTACATTGTGCTATTGCTATTTCAGTCTCTAGAATCTCAAAAAAGTCCAGTGTATGAAAGCATGATTTCTTATGGGGAATATAGACAGTGGCTAGTAAGATGGGGTCATTATTTGGAATATTGACTTTTATCCATGAGAGAAAATCATATTTTTTGTCTAATATCTCAATATTGTTACAATATAGATTATCTTCTATCAAAATACCAATACCACCCGAATGCTTCTTATTGCTCTTTGTTAACTTAGCATGATTGATAAAATGGTACCCTGGTATGAATATGTTATCCTTAGGATTGATCATGGTTTCTTGTAGAAATATAATTTTATGGTTTTTGATTAGATTTTCAAAAATATCTGGGTCAGTCAGTTTATCACTTAGTCCATTAATGTTCCAACATAATATATCAATGTTCTCATTAGAATTCTCATTTGTTGAATCTGTGAGGTTGCAAGGGTATTTTGATTTGCCTGTAGTCTCTACCTCAGTTTCAGTATTCATAGTATAGTGACCCACTCTGCTTATTGCACTACATTTCTGTTGATCCAGATAGGGTCCAAAGTATCCATTTGATTTGTATTACTGTTATTGGAGCAATGCTTTGGTATGTTAGTGTCATTGAAATTCCGGGTTATATTGTTAGGGTACAGAGTTTTGAGTACATTCCTTGCTACATGCTGTCGTCCCTTAACATTGAAGTGTAGCCCTTGTCTCCCTAGGATGCTCTTGTTATAGTCAGTTGTATTGATTCTAATGAAGTGTATGTCTTGCTTCTTACATTCTGATTGGGTAGCTGAGTTTATGGCGTCAATCTTGGTGTTGAGCTTGTGCGAGGCTGGTTTATCTCTCCGATAAGGTATTTCTACGACAGCTGTTTTGGTCTTGTTTGTGTTACTAGTTGTTTTGAGGGTAGTGATTAGAGACTTCATTTTAGATATTGTTGTAGTTGTATTTTCGACGGTGATATTGTTGGTTCCACATTGTACAACCACAGTGTCAGGTTTCATTCGGCAAACAGTTTCAGGAATAGTGGAGTTGATAAATTCTATGGTTGCTCCTCCATGAACATTCCCAGTGGCAACGATTTTTTGGTTTGATTGACTGTTTATTGCTGCTGATATACCATAGCCATTACTGGCTGCAATGTATAGCATTTTTGGTGTTTGTCTTGGTATTGGTTGTACAGATTGTTCATCTTTATTTTCCTCTTGTATCTGTTTTGAATTATCTTTCTGCAAGTCATCAGTTTGCCATTGTGTAGCGCTTTCAGCAGTTTTCATCTTGGACTGGAGCTTACTATTGAGTTTATCATTTTTCTTGGTAGTTGATATAATTTCCTTTTTCAGCTTTTCTATTTGTAGTTTTTGCTGTTTGCATATGTTGTTGCTTTTCTCTAAGGAAGCCCTAAGAGAGGTTATTGTTTCTTCTAGAAGGAGGACCCTGGAGGTATCACAGCTTGTTGAGTCTGAGCTAAGATCCATGAAACTAGTTGAAATGTCACTATCTTCCTCTGTTACATCAGAATTGGTAGGAGATTTGGCAAGGGAGTTTAGTTCTGGCATGGGGAGGCTCTGCTGTAGTTTGGCTAAGGAGGGATTTTCTTGGGGTATCGTTGGGGGGTTCTGCTGTGGTGTGGTTACAGAGGGAGTCTGTTGTGGTGTGGTTGCTCTTTGGGTAGAGATGGGGTTCTGCTCTCCTGGGGTAGGGGTGGAGTTCTGCACTTCTGGCGTAGAGGTGGGGTTCTGCTCTCCTGGGGTAGAGATGGGGTTCTGCTCTCTAGGGGTAGGGGTGGGGTTCTGCTCTCCTGGGGTAGAGATGGGGTTCTGCTCTCCTGGGGTAGGGGTAGAGTTCTGCACTCCTGGAGTAGAGGTAGGGTTCTGCTCTCCTGGGGTAGAAGTGGTGATCTGCTCTCCTGGGGTAGAGGTGGGGTTCTGCTCTCCTAGGGTAGAAGCGAGGTTCTGGTCTTCTGGGGTAGGGGTGGGGTTCTGCTCTCTAGGGGTTGCGATGGGGTTCTGCTCTCTAGGGGTTGGGATGGGGTTCTGCTCTCTTGGGGTAGAAGTGGTGTTCTGCTCTCCTGGGGTAGGGATGGGGTTCTGTTCAAGACCCAATCCTTGAATTGACTTCATATCTTCTGGACTGTTGAATCAGCATGACGCTCTCATTTATCTTAAACCTGTATAGATTTCTAACTCAATATCTTCCTTGTTAGAAACTTCAATAAACGTATTCCCCTGACCCCCACTGCAGTGCTATGGTTTATTAATAAATTATTCTTTGATCATAAATGTCAACATTTTTATATAGAATATAAGTATGAGAAATAATTGTTTTCAGAGCCTAATAATGTTTTTAATTTCAACACAATGCAGTAGATCTAACTAAAGACTTATTCAGGGGTGCCTCCCCCCTCCCCTTTCAGCATTACATACTGAAATAAACGATCTGAGATTCTGCACAAACACAAAACAAGATGATCATATCCCATGTGCAAGAGTTAGGCAATCAGTTTTTAGTTTCTGATTCAACAAGTATGCTAACGAATTCAAAATTTAAATATTCTCATACAGGGGTGAACATGTTATTTGGTTGAACAGATTGACAAAAATATTATCCAAATGTCAAGATAAAGTTCCCTGAAGAATCTATGTTTCAAGAAAATCTCATTTTATAACTTGTTTTTCACACTTCAGCATATTTCCCAGTATCGGAATCTAACACAAATGAGCAAAAATGTTCAACCTTTTAGGAGAGCAAATAACCTTGTCAAGAGATTATGAAATATGATTTTTATTCCATACCAATCTGGCAAAGTATCTTAGACCTTATTGGCTTGTTGATTTATATGCCTAAATATTACAACATGAGCGTGATTAATTGCTCAAGGTCGCAAAGAACGTAAAGTCATCACTTTATCGTGTTTATTTACCGCTAGGGACATCCCAGGTTGTTATCACTGATGCTGTTTTACGAGTTATGATGGGCAGACTGACATTAAGCATCTAAAATTGATCGGTTGAATTTTGTAGTCTTACATTTTGAGAAGTTCAATGGAGCAAGTGTCAGTGTCGGGATTCCTTGACATGACGTTAAACCCCTTTGGTCCCTTAAGTAGGTATAATTTGTTTCTCGCTGGATATGTCTAATATTAATGAAGGTCTATAAGTAACCCCGACATCTGAACAAGTAAGGCATACAGCAGAGACCTCTAATGAATGGAAAACAACAAATTTTGCTGCTGTCCAGAGTAACTAAACTGCTTTCTGAGCTATCCAAATATAGTCTTGTATGAATTTTAATGCATGCTTTACATGTTGGCAAATGTGAGAACTCAGCAGATATTTTATATATAACGCTGCTCCACCTAACTTTGTCATTGAAAATATGAATTGACTCTGTGTCACTACCAATGAACCTATTTATATGAAACTCGTGCAGTTTGAAGCAAACTAACTATCCTGTCTCATATTAAAGTTTGAGCTTCCAACTCCTTTTATTATAAAATTGAGGGCCAACGGTAAGAAACTTTTTGATCGGCCCTTGTATATCTCAATGAAGAACTGTATAGTAACCACATACATGTATGCAAATATGCTAAACATTGAAAGTGGTATGAAGAAAAGGTATAAGATCACTCAAAAGTATAAATTATATAAAAGGGTGACATCTATCTTTACATTGGGGTTTCAGATGAACATAAAATATTTCACCACACCAATGTCTAAAAACATCTAAAAAAGTAAAATTGCAAAAATGAATACTTTACTTTTCTGAAAGGGGTATTAGATAAGGTTAACAACAAGACCAACATTATTGGAGGTGAAATCAGACAATTTGGACATTTATTCCATCAGTGCTACCCTTTGCATTCGTTTGACTTCACTTCTTAAAAAAGAGCTTCGTCTTCACTCTTTCAAACTAAAATATACCTGTGAACTCACCGCGCCAATCAGTGTTCGTCGGCCAAATTTGACTGACGTTCTTTATATGGTCATTCCTTCTGACGTCATTGTTGAGTCCGGAATTGACCAATGACATGCGCATATTTAATTAGAACGCATTTGGCGTATGTTTCTTCAAGCTCGCTGATTGGTGGAAGGTCAGCGCGTAGGTCAAAAGCAATTTACCCAAACTGTCACCGATACCCGTCGTGGGGGCGGGGCTACTAAACTGTAATATGGTATCTACTAGGCAGAGTGTAGTTTAACTAGACTCTGCATGCAGGGTAATTCAGTGCCAGCCCTCATACGACCTCTCATTGGAATCCAATTCACTGACCTAAGTTTAGCTTACTGTAGATAGATACCATCAAAATACATTCTTATGTGCTACACATTCTCACTTTTGAAAGTTGAATGATACATTAATTAGTGAAGTCATTGAATACCAGGTAGATTAAGCTGCTATAAACATACATAAAAATTAATATCATAAAGACATGTATGGTGGTAAGCATTAAACATGTACGAGAAAATCTATAGTATACAATGCTTGGGGACTTAATTAATTACATTCAATTAAATTATTAATTTACACTTACAATGGCTAATGCTATTAACACTTACAACTACATGTGGTGGTGGAGTACAGTAAAACTTCTGTAATTTAACACCAAATAGTTATGTGGGAACTGAACAGACAATTATATGACCAGGAAAAGAGTAAATAGCCAGTCCCGTCTTGAATTTATGTACTCTCGAGTCTCTGGTGAAATTGACAAAAATCCAATTCCAAAATCTTATCTATAATTTAGATCCATTTATAAATCACTGGCCTGGGCTTCCACAATTTGTCTTAGTGAGATCTGATATGTTTTTTCCTAGTTTGTACTCGTAAATGTCTGGACATAACTTTTCATTTGTACTTGGTAGGAACAATAGTCTTGCACCAAGGTTCTATACCTGTATCCTCTATCTCTACTTAACATTTAGTACAGGTGAAGTACATAGGGACTTGATGCAAGAGTAAGAGAACAATTGAAACCATGGTTAGAGTTACACTGTAGGCTCAACTGCTTCTTAACAAATAATTTTTGAGGTGTGACACGGGCTCAAAATCCTTTGTTACCACACTTTTTGTCAAAATGCAAAAAGAAATTGAACCCTACTGTTTTAAATGTTTAACTAAAACAGGTACCCTTGTGAATCAAGACAGTCGGGTCTTTACATGTTACTATGATTTTGACTGCCTAGACTAGGGGTGATTGGGGATTATATACAAGACTCACCAATTCCTATAAGAGTATGCATCATCAGACACCATATCCATCTCTGCAATATCTGCCATGTGGTTGTGATGGTGACTCTTGTTAATCACTGCGTATTTCATCATAATTAGAAGCAATCACTTATCAGACAATGCTCTCTTTAAGTTCAAGATAAGTATTCCGAGTTGGACATCCTAATTTGATGTCTCAAAATACCTGGATGTCACTTCATATGGCAGATGTCAGTTCATATGGTATTTTGATACATCAATTGATATTGTGCATCTATAGTTCATATATGGTGTATTTGTTAATAATGCTTACTGTGCAATTTTTGCTTGTTTGAAAGTTACTGAACATACTATACATATATATGTACTTAAGTATATACAGCATATGTGTATATTTTACACTGATAATAATTTAAAATTTCATCAATATTAAGATCAGTGTCTATTTCATCATGTTTATACTGTACATTTCTCTTTTGAGTACTGACATATAACAAATTGTAGGTTGTCAGTTGATCTAGTAAGTACTACAAATCTGAACATGTTCAACATAGCGGCCGGCAACATCTGCTATATCCTATGTATCCTATATACTGTTTTATGGTTCATATCTGATTGTTCAGTTATGCTACCTGTATGATTCAGACTTCAATGAATGCAAACTTATTAACCTTTCGCAGTCTGTTTTTTAATTTATGTTTATATCTTACATGTATGACATTGATTTTTTTCTCGTGTAAACATTGATAGTTCTATTGCATATCCCCGCAGTTCAGGTGAGTTGGTTAGCAATATGAAAATATCTTCATTTGTTGTTTCATCTTGTAGACTATTGATAAAAGCCGTCACATTTTTCACATTTTCATTTCGTTCATTGATTCAATTGTAAAATTTTTCAATATCCAAATTTTCAGATTGTCTTTCTACAGTTGATTGCAATATCTGATGCGTCTCTACATGTATAACTCTTTGCGATATATTAGAACACTCACTGTGTGGCTCGTATATTATAAAATATTTACAAGACAAGACTTTTCTGCATAAAATACTTCATAAATCCTGACTGATCACTTATTGATTGGAGTTTTATTGATCTTCTCAACTGTCTGATTAATTATGTTTTCTCCAATAATGTTATGTATCTCAGACTTGTCGCCATCAGTTGTTGTGGCAACAAGGTTCCGCAGCAACCAGTGAGGATTTCAAAATTAAGTCATCACAAATTGGGATATTCAGACATTTAAAAGTCAGTTTTAAATGGAGCTTGGCATATTGAAATACTATTTGCACCTTCTTGAAAATACAGTCATGACAAATTAGGAAATTTTGACATTTGAACATTTCTTCATCAAATCAAAACTTTGTACTTTTAACATCTTTTTAAAATCACTCGGCGAAGCTCATGCAATAAAAAACTAAAAATTGACACTCATAATAAAAAAATCTCAATATTCAAAATCTATATTTAAAAAATTAATAAAATGATTCATAGATTTTATTTTGATGATCCACAGAACAATAGAATCTGACAAAACAAGGAAATTGTGTTGATATCTTAATCCGGTTTCCTAAATCAAATCTACATGAAATCTGCCCACTTGTTCCATTGCTGTTTACGATTGTCCCAAAGGCAAATCATCTATTCCAAAAACAGACAATCTACTGTATCACTATATCATTTGTCACTCTAGTGAGAATTACACAACAATCGAAACAAATCGAAGGACTCCAATGGTATCCTCCTAATAATCCAGATCTAATTTCCTAAACTGTATATAAGAATCAACTTGGGTTGTCAGTGTATGAGTAAAATCACGTATAATAGAGATAACCTCTCAATTTGATTTATCTTAGCTTCTAATTTTTTCTTTATCCTATATATTTCCATCTCCCATCTCTTAATGTTTCTTCTTTACTGGTGTACCTATACTGTTTAATAATCCACTCCTTCAGTTAATCTAATATAGCGTAATGTCATTTCATTGTTTTTCCTAATCCGCGTAGGTGTTATGTCTGTGCATTGTTATTCAATTGCAGTGATATAGTGGTTTTTAACTCACATATTTTCTACAGTGTACCATTACTGTAGCAAACCACAGTCATAAACCTGACAGTCCAGTGAACAGTCCCAAAAATACCAAATCCAAATGTACCTTTATAACAGAAAATGAACTCTTATTTCTGAACTGAAATTATCATTCCTGGACCTAAGAAGGCGTTTCTATGGGTTTCCATGGTAAACTAACCACAATGACTGTAAATAGATACAACATTCAGATGGTTAGTGAATTACATACACAGCCTCATGGCCAACTCCAGAAAAACATCACCAATATTAAGTACATGTAATTGTAAATAAAATAGATTAAACCTGCTGAGTAACACTTACCAATGAAACCTATCAGCAGGCTGACAACCATTCAAATGGTCAGGGGTAAGTCTCAATGGAGCAGCCAACAAGATACAACAAATCTAAGAGAGGATATATCTTATTTAAGAGTTTTATATCACTTTATATAATATTGAGTAGAGGTGGATCCGAATGGAAAACATCATTATATCCATTCTGTCATTTACATGGATATATTTCATCTTGGATAAATCTATAAATGTTTTTAAAATATTTTGAGAATATCAGTGCCACCTACCAAACAAAGATTATGTCAAATATTTGTGGTCACTTTAAAAATATATGACTCAGAACTATACCAGATGAGCTACATCTTGTAATTTAGCTCTTGAAACTCTCCATGTAATACAAAACAGATATAGACACTTAGGCTGTGTTTCATCATAAGAACCATGGCATGTTTTACAAATACTGCCAGACACTCCCATTGACCAAAAGAATTCGTAATGAAGATAGTTGATTGAACTGAAATCTAGATTTGTATGAGTCCTAAATGATTTGATAGCTATACACCTAATGTACTATTTCTCTGAGATGACAGCCCCTATTAACTGATTTAATTCTGACGCAAGACAATGCATTATTGATTTTGCAATTTTCTCAATATATGGGATTTTTTCAGTAAAAGTCGCCAGATTTATTTTTCATCATGTTTTTCAACTAGACTGTTTTTCATATAAAAACAGCTTTTATGAGATTTCCACTTTGAGCCTAAACTTTCCAATTAAATAGTTTGATTTTTGCCATTTTACCAGTTTGGAGAAGTACCATAAGTCTAGTTGAGCATAATATGCTCATTAGAGCCCAGATTTTAAACTGTACACAGATTAACATATAGGAAAACATAAGGTACCTCTCTGATGGTGCAAAAAAATGAACTACCAGATTGGCTAAGGTCTATTTGGTAGAACACTTGTACAGTTTTACAACTAATTTATAATGCTGATACTCATAGCATCTTTCTGTTTCAGGTGAAATGATGTGTTTAGCAATACATTGCAGGGAACTAAAGAGCTCCATTATAATTTATGAATCCTGTTCAGCTTTTTGGAATTTTGTCTTCCATTTTGATATCTTTTTTTCAAAAAAAGTAAAGAAGAGTCTGGTCATGTTATCATTTTTCCAGAAAGATTTCTGTTTAACAGACATTAACCTACATGGGCCTAAGATCCAACATTTTAAATGTCAATAAAGGATGAACATAAACATTTACCTACAAAGATGTACAAAAACATATATTTACTATTTTGTTACCATGTCCTTACACATCCTATAAAGCAAAACATGCAACTGACAACAGGATGCATCATAATTATATGAACAAACACAGTCAATCTGGCAGTATATTTTGTAAATGCCTTTGTCATTTAAACACTCAACATTTACATCAAAATATTTCAATATTTCAAAAGAGCAAATATTTAGGGATCAACAATTTAGGGTTTAACAATCCATTACACAATATCAATTACAACGAATATCTATATGCCTAACAAATCACACTTCAACTGTACAATATTGTTCATTAATTACATTATAACATTGGCTTTCACTACTTGAATATTCCTTGATAAAGTAGCCTATAAAAAGTTCTCGATATCGACCTGAGAGTAAATTACAATAACAGCACATTAATAAACGGGTAAAGGCTTCCTGATATCCTAAATATATCATCAACACTTGACAGCTATGCTTTTGTTATCAGATTCAACTTTTATTGATTAAATAGCGCATGAAGGGAATATAGTTTTATTCACCTCAAAGTACAGTTGGTGATATTGAACTGATTAAATGAACCGGACCATATTTATAGCATGTAAACCTGACCTTATAGGTAGTATTATTGACCTTAGAGCTAGTGACGTTGACCGTATAGTTAGTGAGATTGACCGAATAGTTGGCAACATTAACCTTATAGTTTGTGACATTGATCTCAGAGCTAGGAACATTGACCTTACAATTAGTGACATTGATCTCAAAGCTAGCTACCACTGACCTTGACCTTATAGTTAGTGACATTAACCTTATAGTTAGTGACATTGACCTTATAGTTAGTGACATTGACCTTATAGTTAGTGAGATTGACCTTACAGTTAGTGACATTGACCTTATAGTTAGTGACATTGACCTTATAGTTAGTGAGATTGACCTTACAGTTAGTGACATTGACCTTATAGTTAGTGACATTGACCTTACAGTTAGTGACATTGACCGAATAGTAAGTGACATTGATCTCAGAGCTAGGAACATTGACCTTACAATTAGTGACATTGATCTCAGAGCTAGCTACCACTGACCTTATAGTTAGTGACATTGATCTCAAAGCTAGCTACCACTGACCTTGACCTTATAGTAAGTGACATTAACCTTATAGTTAGTGACATTGACCTTATAGTTAGTGACATTGACCTTATAGTTAGTGACATTGACCTTATAGTTAGTGACATTGACCTTATAGTTAGTGACATTGACATTATAGTTAGTGACATTGACCTTACAGTTAGTGACATTGACCTTATAGTGAGTGACATTGACCTTATAGTTAGTGACATTGACCTTATAGTTAGTGACATTGACCTTATAGTGAGTGACATTGACCTTATAGTGAGTGACATTGACCTTATAGTTAGTGAGATTGACCTTATAGTTAGTGAGATTGACCTTACAGTTAGTGACATTGACCTTATAGTTAGTGACATTGACCTTACAGTTAGTGACATTGACCTTATAGTGAGTGACATTGACCTTATAGTTAGTGACATTGACCTTATAGTTAGTGACATTGACCTTATAGTTTGTGACATTGATCTCAGAGCTAGGAACATTGACCTTACAATTAGTGACATTGAT